CTTCGTTTGTCTTTTGCGGCTCTAGTACATAGTCTCTCAACACTGCATATTGCTTTACGTAATCTCCTGCACCATTTTTGGTAGCTGCTGCTTTTTCCCTAAATGCTTTCTCTTTTGAAATACTAACCCCATATGTCTTTTGCAGTTGCTCTTGTAGGGCACGAACAGGTAGGCCAGGATTAGCTTCAATTTGATCCATAATTTGTTTGGCAAGAAATGTTGTTGTACAAGATCTGATTTTTCGTGTTTGGAGGCAGATGTGTTTCTGATTGTATGTCTTAATAAACCAATAGTCATGTACAATTGACCTAGATGCATGAAGTTTCCAAGTGCATTTAACTTTATCATAGTTTACATCTTTACCCTTTACCTTTTTCCCAGAGGTAGGTCCACCTACCCCACTTGCATTTACAACTACAGTTCCATCACAAACAACTGTTAATCTACTCTTGTTATTTTTTGTGAATGAGATATTCCTCCTTGTCTCTAAAGCATGCAGGTCAAATTTATCTTTCAATTCTTTCTTGGCTTTATATTTCTGCCCAATATGAAAAGCTATCTTGTGCACCTCACCAGCAGAACACAATGTTTGTTTCCCCAACTCTTTGATAATTTCCTTCTTTTCCTATTGTCCCCTGAGTCATCACTAAGTGAATCCCACTCGTCATGTAACACCCGGTTTCAGATTTGCCTTATTAATTAGGGATGCAGCTCAATCATCAACTGCCATGGGGATTAGAGCTTTGGGAAAGGAAGGGTTTAGCCATTTCGGATGTTGTTGCTATGATTCAAGTGATCAATGTATTCAATTATGTCTTCGGAAGCCAATGGTATGATTGTAAATTAATATCTCGGTCTTTTAATGGTTTTGGGTTTTAATCGGAAAGATTTAAGGCTCGGGTGTATTTCTAGGAGCGTAGGGCCTCTCGCCACCTTTTCATGGATATAAGGTTCGTTGGAAACAGACTTAGGACGAGTGAGTTATGACACTTTGAAGGTTTTGGCAGAATTAGCTCCTAATGGGAATACTTGACAGATCAGCCCCATGCATGCAAGGATGCGTGCACGTGTTCAGCTGGGTACGCCCAGCGTAAGCTGGGGTACGCCCATTGTATGAAAGTGAAGGATCGCGGGTGCTTTCGAGTACGTCGGGCGTACAAAGGGGTACGCGAGGCGTACTTTCTTCAGACCAAAACCCTAATTTCTCAACTTGTGCCCTATATAAGCCACATTATACCCTTCCTTAGGTCATTTCAAGTCAGCCACCACCCCTTTTCACGTCCATGAAACCCTAGATTGCCTTGGATGGAGCTTGGAGCTTAAAAGAAGACTTGTTAGTGTGTGTACAAGAAGAGGAAGGTGGTGTTCAAGTGTTGATCATGGAAGGGAGCTTGTAGATCCAGAAAGTTCTCATATTTTGCAACCCATTGGAGGTAAAAAGCTCTGATCTTAACCTTCCATTTCATAGATCCTCTTTTGGGTTGGTTTTTGGCCATTTTTAGCCTTTTTCTTGGTCTTGGTGAGCTAGGGTCGTTTTAGGGACTCAAACTTGTAGATCTGGACATTCTAAGGTCCCCTCTCTCATAAAGGTGCAAGCTTTGTGAAGTGTTTGAGTTCAAGCATGATTTAAGACCATCCATTAAGCTCTTTTGATCCCTAGAGTCCCATTAAGCCATGCATGTTAGTAAAGTTGCCAACTTTACTTGAAGAGTCACCTATAGAAGTCAGACTAGAGAGTTGGAACAAGGGATGAAGTGATTAAGTGCTCATTTGGAGAGGGTTGGACCTCAGAGGAGTATGCTGGGCGTACCCACCTGGTACGCGGTGCGTACTAGCCCCAACAAGTGTACGCTTAGCGTACCAGATGAGTACGCAAGGCGTACTCGGTCTGGTTGCCTCACTTTGTTTTGTTGACTTTTGGGCCTTGGACCATGGACCCGAAGTTGGTTAAGGTAACCCATTTAGTATTTCAGGTCTTTTTGGAGATTGGGCCTTCTTGGGATAGGTCCAAGATAGATTTGGGCCTTATTGGGCCTTGTGGGCCATTTCGGGTTTGGGCTATTATTTTGGTTGTGGGTTGTTGGACCAGTTAAGGATGTATGTTGGATTGGAAATAAGTTATTGGGCTTAGGCTGAGGCCCATGTAAAGGTTTGGGTCCAATTTGGAAAATTAGGCCATTAGTGGGCCTTTATGGATTTTGGAGTTTTGGGCTTGATTGGTTTTGGACTTGGGCCTTAGTTATGTATCTTGTGGGCCAGGGGTAAAATGGTCATTTTACCCCAAGTATGGATTATGGATCATGGTTTAGAACCCAATTGCTAATTGGGTGATATTGTGGTATTGATAGCTTGAGGAGTTGTCATGGCAGCAGTTAAGGACTTCTTGTAGTGGACTTCAGCAGTGCGAGGTGAGTTACCTTCCAGTAGAAGTGGGTATAAGGCCACAATGTCGGCCCACTAGTAGGAGTTGTTTGTTAGATGATTGTCTTTGTGATAATTGTCTGGTATGCCACTATCTGTTATGTTTATGTGCTAGTATGGTATGATGTTATGTGATAGTGGTAGTAGGGGAATAGTCCCGGTATCAGTTGAAAGGACCAAAGGAGTAGGTCGGGCACCCCGGTATGCCTGACAGTATGATTATGTCATGTTATTATGTGGTAGTGGTTGGGGGTGAAATAGTCCCCGAAACCGGTTGAGATAAACCGGAGGGTAGGTCGGGCACCCGGACATGCCTGACAGGGGTAGGTCGGGCACCCAGATATGCCTGACAGGGGTAGGTCGGACACCCATATATGCCTGACAGGGGTAGGTCGGACACCCTGGTATGTCTGACAGGGGTAGCTTGGGCACCCCGGTATGCCTAACAGGGGTAGGTTGAGCACCCCGATATGCTCAGTAGGGTAGGTCGGACACCCAGATATGCCTGACAGTATGTTATTGTATGGTGTGTGGTATGATGGGGGAACTCACTAAGCTTTGTGCTTACGGTTTACAATTTTGGTTTCAGGTACTTCGTTTTCAAAGGAAAGGAGCCGGCATGATCGCATCGCATCACACAATGTTTTCCGCACATGAGATCTTTGGGATTACACTCTGATATTGTTTTATGATAACATGTTTTGATTATTGTCACTCTGGTTTTGACGTGGGATGTTATTATGGATGTTTTCTTATACTGTTGGTTTTATAATAACTTAATTAAAAATGAAATTTTTTGGTCTTGAATTTTGGGATGTTACACGTCATTATCAATTACCTCCACATCCTCTTCTTGATCACTATCTTCATTTCTTTGACCACCCAAACTTTGACATCCAATGAACTTTGCTTCTATATCAATATTTAGATTGAAATCCTCCATGTCAACTTCAACATCTTCAATTAGGTTGTCCTCATAAATCATAAAGTCACTATCTTCATCTTCACTGTTTTGATTCTCAAACTCAATGTCATCAGGCTCCTCTTGTCCCCACTCATCACTGAAATGAATACTATCTTGACCTTCAAACCCCATTAAATAGGATCCTATCTTGGTCTTCAAACCCTTCAAAAGGTTGAAAGTTTGTCATTAACTCATCATCTATGTTGATTTTAGTTGAAAATTCATTGACTCCTTGAGGATCATTATCCATGACAACTCTATACCCCTCATCTGTAAATCCTTCCACACCCTCACCATTAGATTTGTTCATGTCAAGTTCTTCATTCACATCAATCTCTTTGTTTAACTCTTTTTCTGCATTAACTACAACAAATTCAGGATGCATTGGCTCAACACCCTTACCTTTATCAACTTCACCACTTGCCATTGTTTTTTCACCACCTTCCCAATCTAAGTTAAGTTTTCTACTACATGACGATCCCCCTTTATTATGTTTCCAACCTTTAGACCTATTAAATTCAGGTGTTGCTGACTTGTATAAGGTTAATGCTAACCCTAAGTCACCCTCATCAACATCAATTTGGATTGGAGTTACCACTTTATGAGCAACTGCAGGTGATGAGGGTCTAGGAGGATCCTGATTGTCCATGTCTTCTATTATAACCCTTCTTGGACCATTTGGGGACATAAAATATGTAAGCAAGTTCGTTTGACCATGCTATGTGTACACTTTAATCACTTTGTTATGGGTAACATACTGTGAGAGATTACACACATCATCATCATTACCTAATGCTCGTAGTCCAAAGTCAAATCCTTCATTAGGCAAACGGAAATGGTAATACATGATTTCAGTACCATCATACCCTAATTCTCTCATCATCAAGTCTAGTTCATACACAAAAAATTCATCAATGTCGACAACATCAAAGTACCTAACTTGCCCATTAATATACCTGATATTTGGAAACTTTGTGAAACTCCCTCTGTGATGAAGTTCAATAGAGAATATGTTGGGGTAACCATCTTCAAAACAGAAAGAGACGATTGTTAGAGTTTTTCAAAGTTTGAAACTTGATCGTCAAATACAGAGAATCTTACCATAAACTTCTTGAACGTTAACATTCTCTCCAAGATTTCTGAGTCCCCACATTTTCAAAAGCATGACGAAAATCGATTCTCACACAATGGTTAGGGTTTTTGCGTCTTGATTGATAAACGAGGTGTGAGAGAAGACAAATGAGTGAAGTACACTCTGCAATCTTATTAATTGAAGTGGCGGCAACGGAGCTGGGAAGCAAAATGACCAAAATGCCCTCACATGGAGGGCACATGATGGCCATAACGGCTCCAAACAAACGGACTAAGACGGAATTGATTAAAAACCCAGAAAAACCTTGATTTTGGACCTTCTGTGCAGGCTGGAAACTTTTTGGATCTCATTCAAGGATTTTTGCAAACCACAATGACCAAATTTGCAGTTTTGTCAAAAATGTATTTTAGAGACCGTCCGAGTTAAAAAAGAACCAAACGTACAAATTACCCAAACCATAGGGACCATTCGTGTAACTTACCCTTAAGACTAGGTTATGTTGGTGTGTAAAAATAAAATAAAATGGGCTGCCATACTTTAAAAAAGGGTTCGACAGAAATAAAAGGTCATCGCATTACTGATTACACATACTGTTCGTCCTTTCTAGCAAACCCCATAGGCGAGCCCCAAGGAAAAAACTCTTTCTTTGCTGTCGTGATCGTTAAAGATCCCCAAGGGTTCCAAACACGTCCAGCTTTTACCTTCTTAAAGTACTACATCGGCCCACTCGACAACGTTTTTTCTTTATCCATCTATTTCTTTAATTGTTTCCACTGGTTCATGAATCCGAGTTTAGAAGTTTCCAAACAAGATCATTACATTCTGTTCTAAGAGCATTAATTATTCACGTATACTGATTGCCAGATTGGTAAATGGTAACCGCTACAGGGTCAATGAGGCTGTGCCAAATAACCATAAGAGGATGCACCCAAAATACGGATATGCTGATAGATGCTGCACTGCTTATAAGGTTGTTGTGGGCTTGTGGCAGAAACTGTCACAGGATGCCGATGAAGCTTGTGAAGAGGTAAAAGAGAGTATGGCATCGATGTGGATTCCTTTTGGTCGATAAAAGGTAATGTTGTGTTATCTGGTTAATTAATCAAACCAGTTCTTGCATATATATTATGGAAATTTTGTCTTTCAGTAAAGATTAGGGGCAAATGTTCATTGGATTCCCTTTAGTCAATAAATGTTAATATTGTTTTGTTGTCTCTTGGGTATAACCGGTTCTTGCTCTTATATTGTGGAGATTATGTCTTTGAGTCAAGATTAGAGGCAAATGTGTCTTGGATTCCCTTTCATCATAAATGGTAGTATTGTATTTTTGGTGGGTCAAACCGCTTCTTGCCTCTTATATTATTCTAGTTATGTCTTTGAGTCAAGATTAGAGGCAAATATTTCTTGGATTCCCTTTAGTAGATAAATGCTAATGTTGTTGTGCTATATTGTCTGTGTGTGAAACTGGTTGTTGCTCTTATCTTATGGAGATTATATATTCGGGTCAAGATTAGGGGCAACTATGCCTTGTATTCCATTAACTGATAAATGCTTAAATTCTTATTCTATTTTAGGTTGTTGTGTTTGCTATTTATCTCATAATTAGAGTTATGGTTATCGCTTCTAAAATATACTAGGAGAATCTAATTGTTCAATAGCTTATGCCTTTGAGAATATCTACATAATTTGATTATCATGTAAAGTTGTGCTCTAGGAGTAAGACATAAATAACTCAAGCTCCTACTAGGTGCCTTGTTCATCTTCCACCATGATTAAACACGAGAACAAATCTTAATAATGAAATAAAATCGATAGTCTTAAAAGTGAAGTGGAAATTATACTTCACAATTAATATGAATGAAGTAAAACTGTTACACTAATATGATGTTATAAAGTATCTTCATAGATTACAATTAGTTTCATGCCATATTCATTTTCAATTAATATATTTGTGTATTTGGAAAACATTAATTGGTAATAATCTGAGTTTCACACACACCATTTTTGAATGTTTAGACCAAAAACATTAAAATCATCAACCCAAGAGCTATTTGAATTTTGACATGGTTGTTGGTGAAAAATAGGTTAAAAGTAGTCATAGAATTTGAGGATATGATTATATGAAGATGATCCTTATCCATATTTGGAAGTGGTGATTTTTTGCACTTCCCATGATCACCCTCTATAAGTTAGTTCACAAATTTAAGTTGCAAAAACCCTGGCAAAGTACTCATGTGTAACAAGTAGCACATGTTTTTGACATACATGCGTCAACTTGAGATGTGTTGAACATATATTGTGATTGTCGTACTCTTTATCTTATAGATAGATTAATTGTTCAAATGTTCAATAGAGGTATGCCTTTGATTATGCAATGTGAGTATGTAGCAAAAAAGGAAATGTAGCATCTTGTTTTTCACTTGATCTAACGGCTGAAATGGTTCGGAACCTTCTAGATACACAATCCATAGCTACCGTGGATTCGATTACTAATCCAACGGCTGGAAACAACTCTCATAACCCTAGGGTTGGATCTGTGAACCTAATTTGTTGCTATATATAAGGCACTTTACCCTTTTCAGTCTATTCATAGATTATCTATCAATCGAATGGCGAAAGAAAGGCAGAAGTGGACCCTGGAGGAAGAAGAAGCGTTGTTTTATGGAGTTGGAAAACATGGGCAAGGGAAATGGAAAGTTATTCTTACAGATCCCCAATTTGCTTCTGCTTTGGCAAATCGATCAAACATAGATCTCAAGGTGTTTTCCTTTTTCATCATTTTTTTTTGTATATCGTTCTAGATTTTTTGCTAGCTTTGTGTTTGTCTTTCATCATAATTATGATTTAGTTGAAATTTCATGCTTAGTGTTCCATTGATATGAATCGATTCTATTACCATTTACATTTGCAGGACAAATGGCGCAATGTTAGTGTGAATAGAGACAAAGTTAGAACTCCAATGTTAGAAGGAGTTACTACTACTACTATTACTACTAATCCACCCTTGAATTCTCCCAAAATTAGAACTCCTTTGTTAGAAGGAGTTACTACTACTACTACTACTACTATTACTACTAATCCACCCATGAGTTTTCCCAAACCTTTATCTGTTGTTCATCTCCTTGACTATGGTGGCATGTCTGTGCCTTCCAGCAGCACCATGGATGAAACAACACCCCCAGTGTATGTTTTCTTCATGCTTCTTTCTTTTTCGTTTATCTCTTTTCCAAATTCAAAAGCAATTATAGCTTTATGAGAGCCTCTAGTCATATGGTAAAAGAGGTTGTTTTAAAAATAATATACATGAAAACCTTATAATAATGAACTTTATTGTGCTACTTTTTTTATTTAGTTATGAAAAGTTGATTCTCGAGGCTCTGTCATCCATTGGAGATCCAAATGGGTCTAACACCAATGCAATTCTTAGCTTCATTGAGGTTAGATTATATAAATATTTTTAGTTTGTATTGGATATTTAGATTAAACTTTATGTAGAATCTCATGATTTCCAATAAACTTTATGCAGAAAAATTTTCCGGTGCCTGAAAATTTCGAAAGATCAGTGACTTCAATGCTCAGAAGACTTGTATTGACAGGAAAAATCGAGATGGTGAGAAATTCTTGTACAAGTTTAGTCTTATTAGTTATTTCATCTCACAATCACTATAAAACTGAAGTTTAAAGTTAAAACACAGGTGGATAACAACTTCAAGTATAAGGGTGCATCTTCTGGATTCAAAAGGGATGATAGTAAGAATGATAAACTTGATGATGATGAGAAACAGGAGGCACCAGATGCTCCTGATTCACCTATTGCTACTGAGACATTAGAAGATGCTGCATTTTATGCTGCACGTCTTGTTGCTCGTGCTGAAAACGTGGAGCAAGAGGCAATTGAAGCATGTCAAGAGTCAGATAGGATTGCAAAGATGCTTGAAGAAAGCATGGCAATGCTACAGCTGGCTGAAGAGCTTCATGAAATGTGTAAGTTATCTTACGTTACCTTTATTGTTAACTCAAGATTTCTTTTTTGAAAGATGACATGTTGATTTTATTTGATGGATCACACAGGCTTGAAAGATGGATTTGTTCTGCTGGCTCTTTGAATGTTGGGTTGTTTGGGTGGTGATTCAATGCTAGAGAAGGTTTTAGGTTGTTAGGTTCACAGAGAGTGTATTTGTGTGTGGAAATTGACTTGTTAAGTCGAATGTTTGGTTTTATGTTTGTGGTCATGTTGTGTAGAGTTGTTTTATCTTTCATAGGTGGATGTGTTATGCTTATTAGCTCTGTTATGCATGATGTAATCTTTTGCTGGATTTTCGGGCTCTTTCTCTAGTCGAATGGTGTGAAAATTGGTGTTTATGTGTCCAAATGTCTAGTTTTACTAACCAAACATACAAATAATACCAATAACTGTTCCTAAAGTATGCTTATTATCTGCCCTTTGTGCCCACCTTACATCTGCCCATGCTTCCAAGGATGATGTGACAAGGTAGCTTTTCAATTCAAATAACTTTGCAAATAGGGCATGAACTCGACCTTTATTTAATTTGGAAAACATTCATTGGTAATTGTTTGAGTAAGTTCAAGTACTAACATGAAAGATGTATCTCTAAGTTTGGGACACACTATCTTTTGAATTTTTAGACAAAAAACAATCAAAATTGTCAAAACAATTGGAGCTATTCACATGGTTGTTACGTGAAATTGGTAAAACTAGTTAAGAAGTTGTGATTTTTATCTTATAAGTTTCATGCTTTTGGGGTACTGATATGGTTTACGTTTATTGCCATTTGCTTCTTCAAACCTCAGTGAAAGTGGTAATGTGTCTAGCAGCAGAGAGAAGGTTAATACTCTGAAACTTTATTTGATGTTCCTCTCCTTGAATATGGTGGTAGGGCTAAGCCTTCCAGAGGCTCGGTTATTTAGAATAACAATCCTAAAGTAGGTTTCTTTCTTTGTGTTTCCATTAGTTGCAACAGCTAGTTGAGATAAGTAAATATACTCTAGATGCTTGCTCTGTCTCTATCAAATTGTTTTACTTAATGTTGATGGGCTGTTTCTGTTGAGAGGTTAGTAGTTTAAGAAAATGAGAGCTAATGGAAGGTTAGTAGGCTACAAAAAACTAAACAAAGTAGTTTGAACAATTAGGGTGGAGGGAGTTCTTCCCTCCAAACTCATTCAACACACTGCCATATCATCTCCACGTCAACTTTTCTCTTTCATATTTCTTCCATCTTTTTCGACCCAAAACACATGCCCAAAACACATGGAAACCCACTCAAATTTTAATTTTAAAATAAACACAAACTAATAAAAATCATACAAAACTAATTTACAAAAACATATAAAATTAATTCACAAACTAATTTAAAAATATACAAAAGACAAAATTGCAAAAATGGTCCCTGTGGTATGCAATTTTTTGGAGTTTTAGTCCAAATCATGATTTTTTTGGATAGGTAGTCATTTTGAGGTAGTTTGCTTGTGATTTTGATCATTCGATAAACTGACAAGACTAAATTGCCCTTATTATATTTATTTTCCATTTTTTTTTCCTTTAAGTATTTATATATAAAAAATAAAAATAGGGGCCCACATACTCTCTCTCTCTCTCTCTCTCTCTCCTGGTTTGAGAGAGAGAGAGAGAAAGAGATGTGGGCCCAAATTAATTATTTATTTTCTTTTTCATTTAAATTAAATAGAAAAAACATAAAAAATATATCATAAGGGCATTATAGTCATTTTAATTTTACGAGGGACCAAATTTATGTACAAACATGACCAAAAGGAGCACGAAGCCAAAAAAGTCGGGGTTCGGACTAAAACCCCCAAAAAATGCATACGATAGGGACCATTTTTGCAATTTGGTCTATACAAAATTATATTAGTACAAGTCTTAAAGGAAAAAATACAAGTGGTCATTGCATGAGAGAGTAAATGGTTACGCGGGTTAAATAAACCGCAAACCACCTATTTTGGTCAACCCACTCCAACCCGTTCTTGAAGGGATCAAATGATGGAGGTACCAGCGGTACCTCCTTCCCCAAAACCAACAATACCCTCCTCCCTTAGTGATTGTAATGGGAAAACTCTTTATACCCGTTTTCATATTCTGGCGGTTACAATAATGTAAAGTTTTCTACAACCATATTTATATGAATCGATGAAATTTGGTGTTTATAAAAATAGTCATTTACTAAAATGACCAAAAATGAAAGTTATGTATCATAACACGACCATGTTTCACATTTCTAGCAAAAAAATTAAAACTACCACCAATTCCCGATAAAAGCATCGTGAATTAGCGGAGTATTATTCCCTAAGAAATATGATTTTGGAAATTATTCACAAAATACTTGTAACATCCCAAAAATCATGACCAAAAGTTTTGTTTTTAATTACGTGACTTATAAAATTGTTTACTGAAAAACATCATTGAATCATAGCATTTCATAAAACCATAATCTCGTGTCTCAAACCATTTCATAAAATAGTAACAATGTCAGAGTACAATCCCATGAATCTCATAATGCGGAAATCCTGAGTGTGTGTGATGCGTTGCTACCGTGCTGGCTCCTTCCCCTTCGATGACGAGGTACCTGAAAACAAAATTGAAAACTGTAAGCACAAAGCTTAGTGAGTTCCCCCATCATTCAGCATACCATACAATATCATATCTAGGCAGGCATATCTGGGTGCCGGCCTCCCCTTCGGTCTATTTCAACCTGATAGTTGCCTAGCATATCTGGGTGCTGGCCTCCCATTCGGTCTATTCCAACCGGATAACTGCCTAGCATATCTGGGTGCTGGCCTCCCCTTCGGTCTATTTCAACCGGATATCGGGGACTATTTCACCCCTACCACTACCACATAGAATCATAGCATACTGGCACATAGAACATAACAGATAGTGGCATACGAGACAATTATCACACAGACAATCATCTAACTACAAGCTCCTACTAGTGGGCCGGCATTGTGGCCTTAGATCCACTTCTACTAGAAGGTAACTCACCTCAATGTCGTGAAGTGTCTGAACTGTCCTCGATGCTGAGGATCAACTCCTCTAAACTCCTACACATAACGATAAGGCTGTAAACGAACTGAACGTTCGGCGAACCGTTCGTGAACTGTTCGGCGGGAAGTTCGTTTATGATTGTTTATTTAATAAATGAACGAACATGAACACAAATTCTTCATTCATTTAGTTAAACGAACGAACATGAACAATGGTCTCGTTCGTTCATTTACGTTCGTTTATGTTCGTTCATTTAAGTTTTTTTATGTTCATATATTTTCGATTGTTTTTTATTACATTACTATATTATACTTCGTTTATGTTGATATATGTTCAATTGTGTTTGTTTATCTTTGTTCGTTTATATTCGTTCGTTTAGCATGTTCACGAACATAAACGAACGAACATGAACAAGACAATTTGTTAAACGAACGAACATGAACAAGAAAACTCCGTTCGTTTATCCGTTCGTGTTCGTTCGATTGTTCGGCTAACTCAAACGAACGAACATGAACAAGCCTTTGTTCGTGTTCGTTTGATTCGTTTACAACCCTACATAACGACATTCCTTAATTACCATTTCATACTCTTAACCCTTTCAAGGGTTAAATCAGGTCAAAGTCAAAGTCAAGGTTAAAACCCTAGTAAAAGTCAACTTTTGGTCAAAGTCAACATCTGGTTGATTCAACTCGCCGAGTTGGTCCACCAACTCGTCGAGTTCCATAATCTACCAAAATCCTGGAACTTCGCTCCTACTTGTCGAGTCTTTCAAGAGCTCGTCGAGTTCTCCTTCATACAGAATCGGGACCCTTTTGCTTTTGAATCGCCGAGCTCGACCATGAACTCGTCGAGTCCTTCTTCATACAAGTTGAAGTGTTTAGCCCTTGACTCGCCGAGTTCTTCCTTAAACTCGTCGAGTTCTTCTTCATATAAGTTGGGACATTTCCTTGAATTTGCCGAGTTTTTTCTTGAACTCGCCGAGTTCCATGATCTTTAAGTCCATAAACGAGCCCAACTTCCTGAGTTCTCTTCAAAACTCAACAGGTTTCTCAATATCAGAAGATATTGGGGAAACTGCAACCCAACTCGCCGAGTCGTATGAGCGACTCATCGAGTCCCTCAATGTCCAAATCCATACAACCACTTCCAGTCGGGCTTAACACATCTAAAACGTAGATCTGACCTCATAGGGTCCATATTACACGTAAAGTTACAAACTTTACGTGCATGCAAGGTATCATGAGCCAAAAACACCATTTCCTAGTCTAAAATGAAGTCTAGGCTAAAGGGAAGGGCTAAAGCATGATAGTTTCATAAACTTTATGGCTATAGGGGCTGAAAGGGATCTGGATATGAAGTTAAAACTTTAGATCACACTTCATACTCAAAAAGGTTCACAAATTTGCTTAAAGATGGCCCAAAACTCAAATATGGAGAGATATAGCAATAGGAAAGTCAAGGAGAAACAACTTTATACCTTTAAGGGGCTGGAAATGAAGCTTGAACATTGGATCTACTGCTTCCTTGAACCTTTTAGTTCCTTCTTATTCTTCCTCTAGCTTGGAAATCACACAATCACTCTCACAAATGGCTCACACACTCAACAAAGCTCAAGGGACATAAGTTAGGGCGTTCTGGACTAAGGGAGACGATGGGGGCTGCATGGGAGGCGAGTTAGTGCATTTAAAATTTAAATAGGGTGCAAACCCTAAATTTTAGGGTTTCACCTAGACAGGTCAACTCGTCGAGTCGGGGCTTCCGACTCGGCGAGTAGGCTCTTCCATCCGCGTCCAAAATCCGTCCCTACTCGACGAGTTGAACCTCCAACTCGTCGAGTCCCAATATAAAATGCAAATATTCTTTATTTAAGATACGTACCAGGAACCCGGGCACTACAAATCTCCCCCGATTATTTTAGACTTCGTCCTCGAAGTCCGCTGCTGCATCTAGAAAAAGCTGTTGGATTAATGTCTAAGTCCATAACTATATTTGGTATGTACTTGACCCGACCCGGCATGGTCCATTTGGGTTGCACTTCACCGACACAATTTATATGGATAGTCTTTTGAGAATAGTATATTTATGATTTATATTAATATATTATAAGTTCTAATATATAAGTTATATGAATAATATTGGAATATTAATTAATTAGTATTGATCAAGAATTAATTTAGATTAATTAAGTGATCAAAAGAACTAATTAAATATGGACTCTTATATATATGAAATGGGCCAAGTTCATTTAGGTTGGGCTAAGCTTTCATGGATGGTCCATGGAGCTTTTAACCCATGGATCCTAT